GGCCTGTTACAACAACTAAGACTTTAATTGTCATGAGTATTACTTCCTTATTTTGTTATGAATATGTTTGTATGTGTATCAAATATCTTTGTTTTCTTCCTCCTTTTATGTCCTTATCATGAAACATAAGATGTATTGATTTTATAACATAGCTTTTTAAAAGATTTATTTATTTTAGAGAGGGGGTACCGAGGAAGAGAATCTTAAACAGACTACATATTGAGCACTGAGCCTGATACAGGGCTCAATCTTAATGATTCTGAGATCATGACCTGAGCTGAAACCAGGAGTCAGATGCTTAATTGACTATGCCACCCAGGTGCCCCTGATTTCAGAACATAGCTTTTAAGTATGGATAATTTTACACCATACTGCATAGTATTTGGTTTGCTAGTATTTTGTTGAGGATTTTTCCATCTGTGTTCATCAGGGATATTGGCCTATAGTTCTGTCTTTTTGTGGTGTCTTTATCTGGTCTTCATATTAGTGTAATGCTGGCCTAATATAATGAATTTGGAAGTGCCTTATTTTTCCACTTTTTTGGAATGGTTTAAGAAGAATAGGTATTAACTCTTCTTTAAATATTTGGTAAAATTCACCTGTGAAGCCATCTGGTCCTGAACTTTTGTTCCTTGGTACTTTTTTGAATCCTGATTCAATTTCCTTGCCTGTGATCAGTCTATTCAATTTCCTATTTCTCCCTGCTTCAGTTGTTGTAGATTGTATGTTTCTAAGAATTTATCCATTTCTTTTAGGTTGTCCAATTTGTTGACATATAGTTTTTTAATAATATTCTCTTACAATTGTTTTTATATATGTGGTGTTGTTTGTTTGTTCTCCTCTTTCATTTGTGATTTTATTTCAGACATTTTTCTTTGTTTATTGATAAGTTTCACTAAAGGTTTATGAATTTTGTTGATCTTTTCAAACAACCATCTCCTGTTTCATTGATCTTTTCTTTTGTTTTTTTTTTAAATTTATATATCATTTATTTCTGTTCTAATCTTTATTATTTCCTTCTTTCTCTTGGTTTTGGGTTTTGCTTGTTCTTTTTTAGATGTGTAAGGTTTGGTTATTTATTTGTGATTTTTCTTGCTTCTTGGGTTAGGCCTGTATTGCTATAAATTTCCCTCTTAGAACTGTTTTTGCTGCATCCCAAAGGTTTTGGACCATTGTGTTTTCATTTTCATTTCTTTCCATGTATTTTTAGATGCCTTCTTTGATTTCTTGGTTAACCCATTCATCGTTTAGTAGCATTTTATTTATTCTCCATGTATTTGTGTCTTTCCAGGTTTTTGGTTGATTTCTAGTTTCATAGTTTTGTGTTCAGAAAAAAAAATGTATGGTATGACTATGATCTTTTTGAATTTATTGTGGCTTGTTTTGTGACCTAGTAGTTGTTCTATTCAGGATAATGTTCCATGTGCACCTGGAAAGAATTTGTTGTTTTAGGATGGAGTGTTCTAAATATATCTGTTATATCCACCTGGTCCAATATGTCATTCAAATCCATTTTTTTCCTTATTGATTTTGTTTAGATGATCTGTCCATTGATATCTGTGTGGTGTTAAAGTCCCCTACTATTATTATATTAATATTGATTAGATCCTTTATGTTTATTATTAACTTTTTTATATGTTTGGGTACTCATATATTGGTTGCATAAATATTTATGATTGTTATATCTTGTTGGATTGTACCCTTTATTATTATTACTGTCATTCTTCATCTATTGTTACAGTCCTTGTTTTAAAATATAGTTTTCTGATGTAAGTATTGTTATTCCACTTTTCCTTTGACATCCATTTGCATGGTAAATTTTCCTTGGTCCCTTCACTTTCATTCTGCAGGTGTCTTTAGGTCTGAAATGAGTCTCTTGTAGGCAACATATAGATGGGTTTTGTTTTTTATCCACTCTGTCATGCTGTCTTTTGATGGGAACATTTATTCGATTTACATTTAAAGTAATTATTGATAGATACGTATTTATTGCCATTTTATTACTTGTTTTGTGTTTTTTTTTCCCCAAAGTTTTTCTCTGTTCCATTATTGTCTTTCTTTCTTTCATGTTTTGCTGGTTTTCTTTAGTGATGTATTTGGATTCTTTTTCTTTATTTTTTTCCCTATCTACTAGTGTTTTTTATTTGTGGCTACCATTAGGTTTGTATATATCATCTTCTGCATATGGTAGTCTATATTAAGTTGATGATCATTTAATTTTGAACCCATTCATTACTCCTCTCTTCCCCATATTTTAGATATATAGTGGCATATTATACTTCCTTTTATTTTGTGAGTTCCTTGACTGATTTTTTACAGAAATATTCATTTTTACTGTTTTTGTGTTTCCTACTTTCATACTGTCACTTTTGGTATTTCTTTTCCACTCAAAGTGTCCCCTTTAATATTTCTTGCAGGGATGGTTTAGTGGTCATGAATTCCTTTAGTTTTTGTTTGTGTGGGAAACTCTTTATTTCTCTTTTTATTCTTGGCTGCAGATTTTTCCATCAGCAATTTGACTATAACATGCCACTCCCCTCTGGCTTCCCACATTTTTTCTGAAAAAATTGCTGATAGCTGTATGGGGTTTGCATTGTATGTAACTCTCCATTTTTTTCTTGCTGCCTTTTAATTTTTTCCTTTATCATTACATGTTGTAATTTTATTTGCAATATGTCATGTTGTGGATCTTTTTTTGTTGATTTTGTTGTTCTCTATGCCTGCTGTATTTGGATTTCTGTTCTCTTCTCTAGAGTAGGAAGGTTTTCAACTATTATTTCATTAAATGAATTTTCTGACCCCTTTTCTCTCTCTTTTTCTTCTGGGATCCCTATAATATGAATGTTATTTTGTTTGATGGAGTCACTGAGTTCTCTAAGTCTATTCTCATTTTGCATAATTCTTTTTTTCTTTCTTTTGTTCAGCTTGATTACTTTCTATTACTCTGTCTTTTAGGGCATTAATTTGTTCCTCTGCTTCTTCCATTCTGTTGTACATTCTAGCAAGTGTGTCTCTGACTTCATTTATTTAACCCTTTATCTCTGCTATATGATTCCTTATGTCTTCATTTAGGGTCTTGTTGACCTCTGAGAGTTGGGGACCTGGGATGGTGAAGGAACTGAGAAAAAGAGACGACAGTACAGTGAGGCACAGGGGACCCCGAACAAACAGCCTGAGTTGTTGAGGTTTATTTTCCATACTCTTATATACCTTCTACAGTGATATAGATCTATAATGATTTACAGCAGGGGCGTAGTAAGGCACATTCCTCCATGTATACAGGATTGGTCAAGCACGTAAGAATCTTTAAAACAGAATAAAGGAACAAAGAGGGGAGTGCCCAGTGTGCTGTTTACAGGACAAGGGAACAAAGAGGGGGAGTGCACAGTGTGCTGTTTACAGCTGGCTTCCTATCTACAAGACATCTTCTGCTGTGTACTTTAGAACTGACCACACACGTTCCAAGGGCATTTCACTCTGATCCTTTCAGGTTATTTTTAACCCTGCAATCTTGAATTTTCTCAGAGATCTCAGGGTCTCAGTGAACATGCACCACTGATCGTTGTGGCATTCTGTTTCCCACAGATCCCCCTTTCCTTTTTCAAATTAGCCACTGTTGTAAGCACTCTGTGATGGAGATTTTGGGCGCTCATTTGTTCTTTGAGGGTACAGTATCCAGGATCCAGACCCCCATACAGGCCTGGAGAAGAAGGATGGAATCCATACTGCGCAGAGGCACATGTCACCACCGCTAACATAGCCAGGAACAAATGTTCAGGGGTTTTGGTAGATCTGGTCATCTCCAGGACTCACCCCACCCTCTGAGTGAGGGTCTTCAGTTGCCCCTAATTTGGGGGTTTTGTTGGGGGCAATTTTTGTTTTCAAGGTCTCTTCAAGGAGCATGTTGCCATCTCTCGGACAGGGGGTTGGGTAGTCAATCCCTGCAGCGGCTGAGAGACCTCTTCTGTTGTTTTTATCACCAGTCCTGGGACTTTCCGAAGAGGTATCCAAGTTGCTCAACTGGATCTATCTGGAATGACACAAGCATAACCAGGGCCTTGGGTAATTAATTTCCTGGGCAACTAATTATTTTCTTCATTTTTATCCACATGAGTATGTCCTGAGTTGAGATTGAGGCTGGCGAGAAATGTTTGTCAACTCTAGTACATGGTTCTCCTTGGGGTAAATTTAGAAGATTTAAAATAAATAAGGTTTGTGCCATGACATCTCGGGGGGAGATTCCGCCTTTCTTCTTAGAAATAGTTTTACGCAGTTGTTTCTTAATGGTGGCATGAGCCCTTTCCACTACAGCTTGTCCCTGAGGATTATAAGGAATACCTGTGATATGTTGTATTTGCCATTCTGCAAAACGGAAGTCAAATGTTGGGAAGTGGCCTGATACACATTTTGTAATTCGGTTTCAGTTTGTGATGCCAGCAAAGTACCATCCATATGATGAATAATGTAGGACTGAGAATAAGGCTTTCTAACAGGTCGGAGGACCTGGCCAACATAATACTGACACATGGTAGGAGAATTAGTCATACCCTGTGGCAAAATTGTCCATTGATATCGTCTCATTGGTTCCTTATTGTTAGTGCTGGGAATAGAAAAGGCAAATTTCTCCTTATCCTCAGGGTGAATGGCTATGGTATAGAAACAATCCTTAAGATCTATTATTATCAATGGCCATTGTTTGGGAATGGCTGTAGGAGTGGGTAACCCAGGCTGCAAGGCACCCAGAGGCTCCATGACAGCATTAACATTCCGAAGGTCCATTAAGAGCCTCCACTTACCTGATTTCTTTCTGATAACAAAAAAGGAGAGTTCCAAGGAGATTGTGAAGGCTCTATACGTCCTGCCTGCAATTGTTCTTGAATAATTTGTTCTAAGGCCTGCAATTTTTCTATCGGAAGGGGCCATTGAGGAGTCCAAACCGAGGAAGAAGTTTTCCACGTTATTTTAATGGGGGCAGGCCTCTTTTCTTTCCTCAATGGCCCCTAGAAAAAAAGGTAACCCAGTCCAGCCCTATGAGTTTGTCCTTGGGCAATGATAGGCTCCGTGATTCTTTGATGTTGTTTGCCTAAACCTTGTCCTAGTTTATAGCCCATTTTTGTCATGATTTGTTGCAAGAGGTCTCTTCCCCAAAGATTAATGGGGGTATTTAAGATGAAAGTCTGGATAATTCTTTCTAATTCGTCTGGTCCCTCACATTTAAGTGGCATACTACTTTGTCGAATTTCTTCTGCCATCACAAAACCTATTCCTTCTACCGAACTAGAGGTTGCTTGCGTGGGCCAGGTATTAGGCCAAGGCTGGGAAGCTATTACTGAAATATCGGCTCCAGAATCTACTAGACCTGAGAAAGTCCTTCCTCTAATTTTAAGAGTCATAGGAGGACGATCAGTCTGAGTCAATAATGAAGCCCATTTAACCATGAGAGGATCAGTACTACCGAATCCTCCTTGTCTGATCTGTTGGGACTGACCAATTTGTACATAGGGTAATTATAATAACTGGGCAATTCTATTTCCTCCCTTAAAAGTCCAGGGAACCCAAGTCTGTGCGACCACCATTATTTCTCCTTCATAATCAGAATCTATTACTCCAGTCATCACCTGGATTCCTTTAAGATGTAGGCTAGATCTTTCTAGCACAAGACCCATGGTTCCTCTTGGTAAAGGTCCATAATAACCCGTGGATATTTTTTGAGGCCTGAGACCAGAGTGAAGACTTACTGTAAAAGGAGTGGTTAAATCTACTGCAGCACTTCCCTGGGTGGTGGGACTGAGTGATAACATGGAAGGTTTATGTGTGCAGCTGGAAGTTGCTGCTGGAGAGGGGACATATTGAATTCCCCATTGTTGTTCGGGGCCCAGGGGTGGCCCCTCATCCCGTTTCCCGACCTTAATGGGAGTGGGTTAAATTGTCTGTCAAATTTGGATTTGCATTCCTTGGCCCAATGTTTGCCTTTGCTGCAACGAGGGCAGAGGCTAGGGGTGGTATTAGAAAGAGAATTGGCTCTAGGTTGGGGGGTTTTATGGCATTCCTTCTTGACATGTCCTACTTTCCCACAATTATAACATTTTATATGCTGTTGTTTTTGTAGGGCCATGAGTTGAAGGGAGGCTATCCAAGCTTGATGTGTAAGAGTGCCAATATTTCTACATAGACGAAGATAATCGAGAATGTTTCCTGTTTCCCTATGTGGCCGGATGGCCTCTTGGCAGTCCTCATTAGCATTTTCAAAAGCAAGCTGTCTTAGCAAGTGCTCTTTAGCAGATTTATTATTGACTTGGTGGTCAATAGCCATTTCAAGCCGAGAAATAAAATCAGTATATGCTTCTGTAGGGCCTTGCACAATTTTTATTTTTTTATTTATTTTTTTTAAAGATTTTATTTATTTATTTGAGAGAGAGAGAATGAGAGAGAGAGAGCATGAGAGGGAAGAGGGTCAGAGAGAGAAGCAGACTCCCCGCTGAGCAGGGAGCCCAACGTGGGACTCGATCCCGGGACTCCAGGATCATGACCTGAGCCGAAGGCAGTCGCTTAACCAACTGAGCCACCCAGGTGCCCTTTGCACAATTTTTATATAACTTTGCCCCACTTCCCCTGAAGGGGTTAGCTTTCCCCAGGCTGGGAGGGCGATTTCAGATACCTGCACTGTGGCTGCAGGCAGAGTGTTAACCAATTGCTCTTGAACATCTGAAAAGGGGCCAGAGCCAGTGAGCATTTCAAAAGAAATATGATGCATGGCTGGGTTAGCCTGATTCACCCAGGCTTTCATATAGGTGGCATCTGATAACCACATTTTCCATTCTAATAAATCCTGTGGTTTAAGGCAAGCCCATGCAACCATATGCCAATCATAAGGGATCCACTCCCCAGAATTTGCCCAAGCTTTCAAAATCTCTATAGTATAAGGGGCTGTGGGTCCATACAAATGGCAAGCCTTCCTTAGTTCCCTTAAGGTATTTAAATCTAATCCCTCATAGGCAGGACCAACAGCTTGTGTTGGGTCTATGGGGAAAGCCATAAATACATCATTAGCCCCTTGCCTTTGGAGTTCCTTTTCGAGAGGTGAGGGAACTAGAGGGGATCTTTTAAGAGGGACTAAATCTATTGTGGAGAGAGGTTGATCATCTTTGGTGCGGTCCTCCATTAAAAGCAGAGGGGCCGTGGGTGACGGCCGGGACTGTGAAGCCGCAAAAACTTTTTTACTTTCAGTCTTAGCCTTTTCTAAAGTTTCATCATCTAATTCATATGTATGTAAAGAGTTAGTAGTTTCTTTAGCAACCTCAGCTGGGGATAACTTATCCCCAGTTTCCATAGTATTGATAACCACTCGTACTAAAACCCAAATGGGCCAGAAATCAAGGGGAATCGTTTCACCCTGTCTCATAGCCTTCAAGACATTATTTTTTACTCGGACCCAAGTTTCCTCATCTAAGGAGCCTTCTTCCAGAAACCAAGGATTATATTCAACTACTGTTTCCAAACATTTTTCTATGCTCTGCTTAGTAACTTTAGCTCCATATTCTTTAAGGAAATGATGTATCAATGCAGCAAACCTGATATTTTTGAATTTGATTGCCCCATTTCCTTGTAATAAACTTTCCTACTTACCACCTTCTGTAGGGTTCCTAGCATGGGCCGATCACTCCTCAACAGGGGCTTCAGGTCCCTGTTCGGGTGCCACTTGTCGACCTCTGAGAGTTGGGGACCTGGGACGGTGAAGGAACTGAGAAAAAGAGACAACAGTACAGCGAGGCACAGGGGACCCCGAACAAACAGCCCGAGGCACCGAGGTTTATTTTCCATACTCTTATAGACCTTCTACAGTGATATAGATCTATAATGATTTATAGCAGGGGTGTAGTAAGGCACATTTCTCTATGTATACAGGATTAGTCAAGCACATAAGAATCTTTAAAACAAAATAAAGGAACAAAGAGGGGAGTGCCCAGTGTGCTGTTTACAGGACAAGGAAACAAAGAGGGGAGTGCACAGTGTGCTGTTTACAGCTGGCTTCCTATCTACAAGACATCTTCTGCTGTGTACTTTAGAACTGACGACACACGTTCCAAGGGCATTTCACTCTGATCCTTTCAGGTTATTTTTAACCCTGCAATCTCGAGTTTTCTCAGAGATCTCGGAGTCTCAGCAAACATGTGCCACTGGTCGTTGTGGCGTTCTGTTTCCCACAGGGTCTCACTGACGACTTCTACTCTTTTCTCAAGTCCAGTGAGTATCTTCATGACCACTGCTTTGAATTCTCTACTAGACATGTTATTGATATGTGTTCCACTTAGTTCACTGGCCATGGTCTTTTCCTGTTCTTTCATCTGGGACAAATTCCTCTGTCTTCTCATTTCATCTAAGTTTCTGTGCCTGTTTCTCTGTGTTAAGAAAGTCAGCTATGTCTCCTTTTCTTGTGGGTATTGCCCTTATGAAGAAGAGGTCCTGTAGTGACCTGCAGTGTAGTGTCCCCTGTTCTCCAGGGCCTGGCACTTAAGGGAGTGTCTCCAATGTGTGTTGCATGTGTTCTGTTATTTTGTCCTGGATGCTTTATCCTTCAGGGCTGTTGTCTGCAGAGGTGCTCTTTGCCTGTTGTGGACCGTGTTTGGTTCCTTGCTTAAATGTGGCACATTTTAACTAGGTGTACTCTTGTCTACTTGTGAAATGAGGCCTGTCACCACTCCCAACAGAAGTGAGGTCCTGCAAAACTCCTGGGTTGGAATATACAGTGTTGGCAGGGGCTGAGTTCTGCACTGGGGCTGAAGCAAGTGTGACTGAGAAGGGTAGTTGCACTGGAGCTTGGGAGAGGGTGGGATTGGTGTAACCAAGTTAGGTAGGGAGTGTCGGCACTGCACTGTTCCCACAGGTGGCCCTGTGCTTGGTCTGAGGGGAAGGGGAGGGAAATGACACCTGCAAGTTCCTTTCCTGGGAAGGTCTCTCTGTGAATGCTGCCTCTCTGGAACAAGCTCTGAGATGAGCAACGAACCTCCCCTCTGTGTGTCCCTGGTGCTCTTCAGATCACTGTTTCTATGCTGTATGTCCATGATCTGTTTGCCCTGTCTTCTCTCCAAGAGCTATCCCAATGCCCTCTGAGCTCTGCCTGAGCCAAGCTTGTTGACCTTTAAAACAGTCCCCAAGCCCAGTGGTTGCAAGAACTCAGGAAATTTAGTGCTTCTTGTGTTTCCAGCCAATTGCTATGGGGATTTGTTTTCCCTGTGTGGACTCCCCTGTGTGCTACTTTGTCTTATGTTCTTCTCCATGACTGTGGCTCCCTCCCCATCATGGTGGTCACAATCTGTTTCTCTCTCAGGCCATATCTCCATACATCTTACCCTATTTCATGTGGTCTCTTCTCCACCTTTAGTTGTTGAGTTTGTTCTGCCAGTCTTCAGATCGATTTCTAGGGTATTTAGGATGATTTGATAGTTATCTAACTTTATTTGTGGGACAAGGTGAACCTAAGGTCCTCCCACTCCACTGCCATTTTCCCAGATGCCAAGAGCAGTCATTTATGTTTATTACAGATTTTATTTATTTATTTGAGAGAGAGAGTGAGCAGGGAAAGCAGAGGGAGAGCAAGAGAGGGAATCTCAAGGTGACTCCACACTAAGCACAGAGCCCAACACAGGGCTTGATCTCACAACCCTGAGATTATGACCTGAGCCAAAACCAAGAGTCGGACACTTAAGTGACTGAGCCACTCAGGTGGCCCAAGAACAGTCAATTTTTACAAGAAGTGGATTACTTTGTTGTTGTTGTTGTTGCTTTTTGTTGGTGGTAGATCAGGGTAGTTGTCCTTTTAATTTATTTTTTATCAGGGTATTTTTTTGAAGAACCTGAGGGGAAGTGAAGCAACTCATTTCTCACTTCCTTGGAGGCCCCAGTATTATGAGGGTAGTAATGAGGTCACTCACAAAATTATTTGTTCTTCAGGTTGGACTCTGTTTGGCTCTGTGCAAATAACTATGAAACCATTATTTTAGAACAAAAATTCCAGTTTGCTTTAAATCAGTTTTTGTTTAGATCTGACCTTACCTGAGTTTTGACTTCTCTATACTGACCCATATTATGAAATATAAGATATAAGTTCCAGGTATGGATACTGTATCATTTCACTTACCAGATAATTCAAAATAAGAATCTTTGTCACTTACATTTGTGAAAATCTTTAAAGACTGTGTGTATGCATGAGTGTATGTGCACATATCTGTATCAGTCAGGGTTTTTAAGAGAAGGAAACCGAGCCAATATAATATGATATATATTTATGTATATGTGTGGAGGGAGGGGGAGATATCTATATCTATATCATCTATGTCTAAATCTCTATCTCTATATCTTTATCTATTTATATTATCTATATCTATATCTATATCTATATCATCTATAGAGAGAGAGAGAAAGAGAAATTTAAAGAATT